GTGGTAAGGAAGTGTGGCTTTTCTTTTCTCACTCCTTTTTTTTTTTGTTTTGTGTTGTGTTGTGTTTTGTTTTGGGCTTCTTCTTTATTACAGCTGCAGTTTTCTGGTGTGGCTGTGGTTCTTCCTAGGCTGATCTTTGCTTCCAAGGAATGTGTCCCTGCTCCCAGTGCTGCAAGTGCCATGTTGGCAGCTAAGTCCCCATAAGGTAAATGCAGATGGTCTCAGGATTTGCCGTGGTTAGACTCTGTATCACAGGCTTCAGATATTGGGCAATGGGACAAAGGGTCAGACATGAAGGAGCCTTGAGTTCTGCCAAATATGCTACGAAGTTACGAAATAAGAATTTGTTTTCTTTCTCCAGAATTAAGAAGTTAAAGAAGTACTCCAGGGAAGGAAGTGATGTCAGCTTTCCAGCTTGGAACACAGTCAGCACAAATGCATTATATCTACTTCCTGGATATTGTGATTAAAGAAAAGTATTTTTCTCATTGCTTTTTTATTGCTTTTTTTTTTCCTTTAGGCTAAAAATTCACTTAGCTTCAAGAGTGAAAAACACAGGAACAAGTAAGTTCATAACTTGCTCTACTGCTTTCTTAGAGTTATTTGAACTAATATTATTCTGAATTGCTCATTGCAAGTTTCCCAGTTCCATATGAAATTGTTTCCATGATTCATCCCTTGAAGTTTTGACCCCAGCTTAGCTGTAAGAACTGACTTAGAGCATGGCTCCTCTGCTTTGTCCTATACATTCTCCAACTTGAGGTAGACCGAGAAAGATCAAGGCTGGAATCCTTACCAAACACTACTGCCCTTCAGACTTCCACCTTACCCAAAAGCCTTCCCCACATGGATTCTCCTTTAGGATCAGCAATGCTTTGCCAGTCTCCACATGACACCCTAGATCTATCCTTCGCTTAACTGCTGTGCAGTTGATCAACTTCATTGGGGAAACTGAGGCAGGGGAAAGTCTCTTTGAGAGCAGGGGTTTTTCTCCGTTAGCCTGGGAGGTTACTACACTGAGTGGTTTGCTTGTGTTGATAAAGCTGGAAAGAGTTGGCATGACCCCCAAGTGGGAAGTCAGCAGTCTTATCCTTGTTTCTTCTCTGCTAGTTCATCTTCAGGACTCTAAGTCCTTGCTATGTCACTTGGTATACCCCATCCACATGTAGGAAGGATAAAAGTGCTTCCCTGAGTTCTCTGTCATTCTCTCCCAGTTTCTAGTCCAGGTGCATCTGCCCTTGCTCTCAGCTCAGCAGTTGTTGCTGGAGTACCTTGCCTGGCCTCAGTGAGTTTCTGTATCTTGAAGTACAGGGAAGAGCTGCTTTTTCCTGGAGATGATGGGCCTAGTGAGATGGTACTACTACTAATACTATTAACATTATATTTAATATAATAATATTCCCTTCGAGGGAAGGACTCCTGCATGTTTCCTTCCTACAGCTCTGCCTTTATGTCTTCTCTCTCTGGACATAGGTTATTGCAGAGGGTGCAACTTGGTAGATCACCATTTTCCAGTATTCAGTGGTCCCTTGGGTCCAATTGGAGGAAGCAGACTCTGGACAGGATTTTCCTCTTGGAGAAAGTGTGTCCATCCTGAAGGAGCTGGCACACGCATGCCCGAAGTTCTGATGTGAGCTTGGGCTCCAGAATGAATGAGAGCATATGGAGCCATACAGAGCTTTGAAAGAGAGCAGAGTGAGCACCCTAAAGCAGCATGGAAGGGTTTTACGCTCAGGAAGATTTATTTTAAGAGAAGAAAAACTAGAATGTTTCATATTGTAAATGGAGAAAAACTCAAAGCGAGTGTATATAACGTGAAAGAGAATAGGAAAAGGTTTATTGGAGGCAGGTTTTGGAAACTCGGTGATGCCTGGGTAGATGACCGTAGCTCATATGTTGCCAGGTTACTTTGGCAGTGTTGTGCCCGTGCCCTCCCAAATGGTGAGACAACCATATGGCTGCTCCCCACTCTGTTTTCCCAGCAGAGGTGGCAGCGCTCAGTTATCACTGAGACTCAGTTTCTAAGCAGGTGGATTGGCCTTCCTGGCTCATCCTTCTCCATACTGGCACAGTTGCTGGGCGTGTTGCATCCGAGATGTTCCCAAGCTGCCTTCCTCTTCTCTTTGCAGACTCAAGATATATGCATATATTTAAATTTTTAATGTAAATGCGGAAATTCATTCAAATGAAAAGGGAACCTCAGCCTGGACAGGGGCTTTCCAGTATCCCTCAGTTACCAACTACGCATCAACCTTTCCCTTCCCCAAACTAAAAGAACAAATAACAAGAGGTCTCCAGGGAACTATGGCATTCCTAGCTGCCATAGGGATGTCTTGAAAGGGGAAGATGAGTCAGATCCACCCCCGCCAAAAATAAAAGGGAGGGCAGGGGGACACAATCCATAGGCATAGGATAGCAGTAGCATTTTGCCTCTATCTCAAAATCCTGTCCACATGCTGGCCCCTAGGTGCTCCCCCAGGCTGTAGGTGCTGCAGTGGTGCCTGCCTTCCTTTGAGAAGGTTCCGGAGACACAACCTTTGTCCCTGCCATGGGGATGGCAGCAAAGGAAAGGTGCTTCCTTTGGGCAAGGGGAGGCTTGTTTAGGAATGCTTTGGTGTTTTTAGTCTATCCTAGCTAATGCTTCTGGGGTTGCTGGGTTTAAAAGCATTCATGGTATTCATTTATGTTTTGAGAAATATCACTTTGGCTGTTCCTACCCTTTGACAACTATGTTGAGCTCCTTAATGAGGAAAGGAGCGGATAGTCACCTCAAAACTGTGGCCAGCTAGGGATCCATGCAAGCTGGGATAGACTAAGGACCTTGTCCTGGCATCTTCTCTTTTCTACTGCACAGGATCATCATCCCCGATGATCCTATTAATGGCACAAGTGACTGTGTGGTGGCGTTGGTTGTTCAGAACCCAGAGGATGAGGATGGGTGAAGCAAATGCACATCCTCACCTTGACAGCCACATTCCCCAGGTACTTGCTGTGGAGATCACGTGTGCCCTGATGAGATGAGTGTGCCCTTGCTCCATGTTAGCTAACTGCGATAGGCCAGGTCTTCCTCCAAACTGCTCTTTCTGGCCTGGGATGCTAAAATATAACCCTAAAGGGGCTGTACTGAAAGAGTGGCATGGTCATCCTTTTGGTGCTGACGATGCATGAGCTGATGGTGCCTCTTTCTGTGAGTTTTCTGTGAGATGGGGCTGTTGGAAGGAGCACACGTGCAGGGTCAGTGCTGCCTCTGCCATTACACGCTACCTCTACGTGTCTAAAGGAAAGCTGCCAGGCAGGGCAGGTGGCCCTGACCTCTGCTTGTGCTTATTCAGTACAAACCATGCTCAGAGCCCTCCTCGCCACCCCTGGACAGCCTGTGACTGCTGTCCCTGGTGCCAGCAGCAGTCTCCTTCCAAAGAAGGGAGAAGTGGTGGCTTCATCCTTCCTCAAGCAGCGCATCGCTTCCCAATGAGCTAAATGGGAAGCATGTGGGGAAAATACTGTGTGAGATACCCTGCCGAATCTCGTTGACATCCTTTAGAGGCAGTTTGCAGGAGCAAAAGTGTGGGGGGGGGGGAATAGATTGAGATTTGCTTTCAGAGTCCTGCTCCATGAGTGCCAGTTGGAAAGGAGCCACACAGTCCCTGAGCGAGCTGGTCTCGGCCAGGCACCACAACGTGCTCTGTCCTCCTGGCCGTGCCATGCCTGGCATTATCTTCCTCCTTGCTCAAGCAATGCAGTGCTCCTAGGGAATCAAGCTCTTCTCATCTGCGCCATCCCTGAGCCCAGGAACAGAACCTGCTGCTTCAAACCAACACCAGAGGAGGAAAAATATGGCTGAGGGGGTGAAAAAACTAAGGAGAGCTCATAGTGAGCCTTTAGTTTTCCATGTAGGATGGACAGGGGAGTAAAGGGTCTGGGGTCACAGTGGATGAGGGAGAACTGTGATGCCTTGGGGATCTGCACAGGGACTCTGCTTCTCCATGCTTTGGCTTGAAGAAAAGCAGGGACTGAGGAAGGGATGAGCTTCAGGGCAGGGGATGTGTGTGACCAGCAAAGACCCAAAGTTTCTGGTGGGATTGAGGGACAGGGTGAGAAAGGACAAGTCAAGCACAGAGGGGAGAAGCAATCCTCAGGTTAACACAGAGAGGCTATCCCTGATCTGCAGCTCCTTTTGGCAGGTCCTACAAGGCTGCAGAGAGGAGGAGTATGTTAGGAAAACACAAGCTTTTCCTTCTGTTTCCTTCAGCCGAAAGCTCATGCTCTACCCTGAAACCAAGAGGCTTAACCATCCTCCTCTGCAAGGGAGCACTCAGCTGCACCCCTTTCTTTTTTCAATCTCCAGTTCCCAATTATGAACCTGTTTATAGATTATGGGATTTTTTTTATGGGATAACTTGTTTTCCCCTTCTGAGGAACAATCCAGAATGTGATGCAATTTCTGGCAGTATTTGACATCCTCCATCTTTCCAACCACAAAGGGTTGGAGGTGGAAGAGGCTGCAGCACTTTTTGCTCCTCTGGGATATCACAAGTGATGCAACTGCTGCCCCAGTTATTCACTTTCTCCAGCACATTTATTTCTGCTTGCGTGCTGAGCGCGTGGCATTCTCTGCACATCCATTCTCTGTGGCTTTTGGAGCCATTGAATTTGTGATTCCTTGGAAGAGGAAGATTTCACTTCCCCCATGACCTCTGTGGGCTGTCCACTTACTGGACACAATTTACAGAGAATGCAGAAGTGGCTGGTGTTTGTTTCCCTTATCTTTCTAGGGATTATCTGTCTGTAGCTCTAAAGATGCCACATGTGAAAATGGAAATCCCCTCAGCCCCAGAAAACACAGTTGATTTCACTGGAATTTGGTAGAAATTCTCTGGAAAGCAGCAAATTGGGGAGGAGGTAGAGAGGATAAATTGTGGTGCCTCCATGTGTGGGCCAGCATTCGAGCTCCTGCGAGCAGCAGCATCACTGTGCTGAGGAAGGGCCTGTACACAGCCACCATGCTCAGTGCACAGCCTGCCCTGGTGCTCCTGCTGCTCTTCACCCTCTCCCCACACTGCACAGAAGGTGAGACCCTTTGCTTGCTGCCAGCAGGCTGCTCCTTCTGGTTCCTACTATGGGTTGGGGGAACAGGGACCCAGAAAACCCACAGGGGTTTGTGCTATCAAGGCCAGGCCAGAAACCTGACTGGGGAATGGGGATGATGCTGCTGCCACGAGGAGCAACCCCAGGGGTCTCCTGGTTGGCCCAGGGCTGAAGGTCCTTGGAAGGTCAGGCAGGAAGGAGAGAGCAGACTGCACCAGGGGGCCTCAGTGGAGCTGCCTCCAGGACGGGGGGCACCTGCTGTCTGCCTGTTGCGGTTGCTCCTCTGGCCCCCAAGGTGAGATGCCATGAGGCTCTTTAAAGCAGAGGTGGCAAAATTTGCAGTGTTTTGGACACAGTTTTGGAAAGGTCTTAAAGATTGCTTTGTCCAACCAATGTTCACGGTCTCTCTTACTTCCGCAGCTACTCGCACACCTGTAGAATGCTGCTTTAATTACACACAACGTGTTCTCCGACTTGCTAACCTGAAGAATTTCTATGAGACCCCCAAGGAATGTTTCTATCCAGCAATTGTGTAAGTCCTGGTAACTTCTCTCCTACTATGCTGTTTCTGATCCCCTCTAATGACAGGGACATAGCTGCATCTGGGGGACCAGGACAGATCTGTGTGGCCTCCTCTGGAGCTGGCAGTTGGGGAGCTGTCTTCAACCTATGAGCAGAGGAGGATGTTGCTGTTCCCTTCTATAGGAACACAGAGCTCTCCAAGGGATGGAGGCCTTGGACGAGGAGTTGAGCAACTCATGAAGGCACTAAATGCCCTGGGCAGCCAGCAGGGCCAAGGGGGAGGGAAAGGAAGTGCAAGGAAAGGCCAGCTCACTAGTGGGATTGTAGCTGCTCTTCCTCACCAAGCTTTCCCCTTAATCTCGGCAGGTTTGAGACAAAGAATGGGAACCAGATCTGTGCGGACCCAAAGCAGTCCTGGGTGGCAAAAAGAGTTGCGCAACTTCAAAAGAAGATCCATCATGCACCATCATCTATGCCAGAAAACCTACTTCAGGCTACCCCTCCTTCTGGTGGAAAGATCTAGACCCCATCTCCTGGAACAGGACTGTGGCAAGTGCGTGATGCTGACAGACAGCACTGGCCCACCAGAGACTTGCCCCACATCACTCAGCCAGCCCTCAGCTCAGAGGGTGCCTGTGTTGTGCCAGAACCCACCCATGAAGCAAGGAAATAAAGGTTTACTTCACACAGCACCAGAGTACCAATTTCTTTCTTTTCCCAGTGGCTGCTCTGCCACCCTCCAGCCAGGGGCACAGAGCCTGCTGTGCTGGATGCTGAGGGGCGGTGGGACAAGGGCTGTCCCCACAGCCCTCCAAAGCCCTTGCACGTCTTGCTGCACCTGGGGCCAGGCCATGCACAGGCAAGGAGAGCGGATGGGAAGCCGGTGTCTCCCTCAGCTCCTCCCAAGCAGCTGAGTGTATCAAGTTCTCCCTGGCTGATAGCCTCAGCGGATCTCGGAGGGTTTTCAGGTAAGTCCTGTGCATTAACTGCATTTATTTGACTGGGATCAGGATTCATTAGCTACAGGAAACATGGGGTGGGTGTTTGTAAACTGTAAGAGGGAGGTCGGAGTTTGGCAGTTGAGGTTATGAGGGAGAGGGAATGCCTTCATGCCCCATGGTGCCTTCATGGCAGAGGCAACACCGTCCAGGGCTGCAGCATGGCCATGACCCACCATGCACCTGAGGGACCAGAGGGCTCACTAGTCCCACCAGAGCAGACCAAGACATCCCTGTGGTGTACCAAAGATAACCTCAGCTTAAACTAGTGTTTCAAACTCATCACTGTTCAGCAGCCTTGGCAGCAGGCTGCTTCCTTCATCCTTGTGCCCTCTTCTGACAGCACCATAGAGCTCACCCTAGTCGTAAAGGAACAGTTTGAACCGGCAGTGTAAGCCACCTCACAGGTCTGTCAAGGGGAAGACATCCAGGGTCACTAGCCAAGCAAGGGCTCTCCCATTTAATCCCCACTGTGGCGTCAAGTGAAGACAGCAGAGGACTGTCAGCACCCACGTAAACTGTCTGCAGTGCTTGTGGCTATGGCAGCTTCAGAGTTGCAAGTGGAGGTCTTCTTGTCATTGCCTAGCCATTTAATCAGAAAAACCTGGGAGCTTCCAATGAGCAAGTGACTCAGCTGGTGGCTGGGGAGCCCGGGTGTGTCCTCAGGGTCAGGAAGAACAACAGTGAGGGCCTGGTGGAAGCGGCAAGCAGGGCAGGCCCAGGGATGCCATGTGCTCGCCTTTTTGTTGGAGACCCCTGCCCTCCGGCAGCCCTGACTCTTGCTGTTTTGCTGCTGACTAGCTGGTGTAAGAATCCTACCAGTCAGGGTCTACCCGTGTGCACCCGCGTGCCTTTCACATTGGTGCGTGAGATGGCAATAGCCTTCTACCAGGTCAGAGGCAAAGGAGAGCACGCAGACTTTGCCTGCAGCTCCACTGTCTTTCTTTCTGTATGAAACGCTGAAGCAACCATGAGATTTTATGACAACTGCCTCCTTGCCATGGACAGCACTGGAAAACTGCTGCAAGCTCTTCCTGCAGTGTTGATCACTTCCCCATGCTACACCTAGTTTTCTGGACCCCTATGAAAGGACAACTCGGGTGATCTTTGTGGACCTTCCTGGCAGCAGGAAGTTGAAGGTATTTTTCTGCTTCCATAGAGCTTTCTGTGGGGCTTCTTGGGCCACAGAGAAATACTACTGCTTGAAGTTCTCTTCCCCCAGTGCAGGCACACGCACAAGCAGTCATATACACTAAATGCTCCTGCAGACCCGCCGTGCGCTTCAGAAGGTGGAACCGAGCTGCTTGTGAGGACCAGATGGAGAGCAGTGATCTGCGATGGTGCAGCCGTGCATAGACCACCCCTGCCATGGACCCAGGCCGCAGTGAAGAAGGCCGGCTAAACCGGGACATTATTTGCAAGAGCGCGTGAAGATTCCGCCCTCTTGAAACACCGGGCCGCTCAGCGGGCACCCCGCGCTGCCGCCCCTAAGATGGCGCCGAGGCTGCGCGGGGGTTGGGGGTGGGAGCAAAAACCGCCACCCGGCTGCCGCCCCGTTTCCATGGCAGCGCCCCCGGTGCGGCCCTCTGGTTGGCCGGCGAGAGGAGGAGGGGCGGGGCCATCTTGGCTGGGGCGTGTTTCAGCCAATCGGAGCCCACCGTGCGAATCCCTTTTAAAGCGGCTGCCACTGCCGCTCCCAGGTCCTGCTCAGAGCCTCGGGCGGGGGCCGGCGGGGCAAGGTTGGGTCGTGGTGTCCTAAATCCGTGGCCCCCTTTGTTCCAAAACCTGCATTTCGGAGCGGCTTCGAGAGTCCCCACTTGTCATGTCCCTGCAGTGCTTTGGCCGTTGCAGTTGATCTTTGCGTCCTGCCTCAAGAGCATCCCAAAGGATGCATGCCTGGAGGAGGGCTTCATGCCTGCAGAGGTCTGCAGAGAGCTGGGAGAGCAACTAAGAAATCAGATAGGAATAGATGAAGTATTTATATGTTGCACGCACCATCTCACGAGATTTATTTTTTCTATTTGGTCGCAGTGAATTGGTACTGCTGAACTCTGGGTCATTGCACTCCTGAGTGAGTGTAGATGAGGAGCTTGGCCTCTTGCTAAGCAGAGTCTCACAGCCTCCTGCCAGCCAGCCAGGGAGCGCTTCAGGATGTGGCCAGGTTGCTACACGAGGTGAGCACTGGTGCGTCTCAGTTTCCCGCAGGTCTTCGTGCTGAGATCTCTGCAGTGTCTGAGCTGGGTCCCTGCTGTGTCAGGCTCTTTCTGTAGCGTGGATAGGATTGTAACATGCTCAAGGGCTGATGGATTTCTCCTAGGGTGCAAAAGGTTTTGGAGAAGACCACGTCCTCCAAAACAAAGGCAAGGGCCACACATGCCCAAAGGCCCCCTGCCTTGGAGGTGTCCTCCAGCTTCTCAGCAGGCACCCTGTCCCCAGTGTGCTCAAAGCAGTGCTCCCTTGGCCTTGTCTAACAAAGGCTTTTAGTTTCCCCTCAGATTTTTGAGATGAGTCCAATACTTTTTGCATCGTGACCACTCTTTGCTTTGGCGCAGAGGAAAAAAGTTGGTCCAGCCCCCCAGGGAAGGGACAGGGAGTGAGGCCATCCCTGTGTAGCCTCAGGGCAGGCAGCACCTGCCCAGGCTGGAGAAGGGAAGGAGGGGAGTCACGGTGGGAATGTTGGGATCAGCATCACCCTTTGGCTGAGCCAGGGCCACCAGATCAGCCTGTCAGGCTCCTCCCTCCAGGCATCTTCTCTGGGGAGGAGAAATTTGGTGGAGAAGTCAGCTTTGCCCATCAATCATCAACAACCCCATCTACCATCAACAACACCTCCATTTGGTTTGACTGTGATAAAAATCCCTGCTCTGCCAGGATCAAGGGACCAGCTTGGGCAGACGCTGCACAGCATCCTGCATGGGCAGCATCCAGCGATGCTGAATTGTAGCTGTGTGATGGCACCAGGGCTCTTCTCAGCAACCAGTGACAAGACCCAACAACTGCTTTGAAATCAAGAGCTTATTTTATTGGACCGATGAACTTTGCTTTCCAGCGGCTCCGATCCGATCAGTGCATGCTACACCGAGCTCAGCCTGAGCTCCGTCTCACACATTAGTCGCTATTCATTTCTTGCCAGCAAGAAAACAAAGAGATAATAAATAGAAAGCTCATCTGCACAGGGAGGCCTGTGGGACTGCGTTCAAGTGGGTGCACGTGTGGGGCAGGCCCGTGCCTGGCCCCAGCCCGTGCCCACATCCAGTCCCGGGGAGGGTGGCGGGGAGGCCTGCGGATGCAGAGCCGTCCCCCGGACAGGGGGTGGCCCTGAGGCCGCACATGCTGCTGTGCTGGGGGCAGGGCCCCCGTGCCAGGAGTGCTTAGGCAGGGGTAGGGCGGGGATATAGCAATCTCTGTAGAATTACATTAAAATAGACTATTTAAAAAAAATATTTCTAGTAGTTAAAAAATGCGTGGTTGCTCACCTTCCCCCTGCTATCCCCCAGCCAGCAGTGGACTGGTGGCCAGCTGGGCCTTTGGAGATGTCCAGGTAGCCCTTCACCCCTGGGCTCGCAGGGCAAGCCCACCCTGGTGTGGGGTAGGAAGGACATGGGGAGCACCGGCATTTGCCAGCTGCACAGACCTCATTTCTAGCTGGAGGAAATGGGTCTAGCTCCAGACCTCTAGCTGGAGGAAATGGGGCTCTTTGCTGGGCATTGGTGGCTGTCACAACAACACACAGAAGGTGACAGCTCCCCTGTGGCTGTGATGGGTGCCCTGGGGATGCTCTGTCCCCCTTAACTCCTGCTCAGTGCCCAGCTGCATGGAGCCGCTGGAGCTGCCCAAGGTGGGTGCTAGTGGGAGGTGGCACCGAGCTGGCAGGTTGGGGACTGCAGGAAGGGGTGGCAAAGCAGGTGGAGCAGGGCCACACGGGAGGGGTAGCATCGCCAGCCCCAGCCCCTCGGCCTCTGCTCGGAGGGCAAAGGAATGAAGCAGGGTGGAAACAACATGACGGCTCTCAGCCCTGTGCCCGCTGGCGCCCCCAGCAATGGGGCAGTTCCCTCACTGAGGGCCTCACCTGAGCCCAGCGCTAAATCACATGGCAGCAGTTGAACTGCCCCAGGGACAAGAGGCTCTCCTTGGAGCTGGGCCGGATTTTGAAGGCCAGGGCTTTCTCACACAGTGGGAACTGCAAGATCCTGTCTCTGAGGCTGGTGCTTTTGTTTTTGCCCGGGTCCAGCTTTATCACGTTCTCTGTGCCTGCCTCGGTGCCACCAACGCCACGGATGGAGCTCTCCGTCACCAGCTTGGCTTGGCTGCAAGGTCTGGTGGGCGCCTCAGGCCCTTGAGACTTGTCTGCAGGCCCCTGTGAGCTCAGGAGCGCAGTGGAGGTTGTCTCTGCCCCTTGGGCCTGAGGGACCCCAGCACCAGAGTTCTCACAGCTCTCAGGTGACAGCACAGCCCCCATTTCCTTGGGGGCCTCTGCCCGAGCAGCCCTGCGCTCAGCATCTTCCGTCTTCACGGTGGGCTCAGCTTTGCCTGCTGCTCCATCACCCCGCATCTCCAGGGAGAACCTGCCAGCCCTGAGCTCTCCATGTCCTTCCCTCATCCCCCCCTTCCCCTCCCAGACAGCGCATCCGCGAGCACCTGTCACGGGCTGGCACGTGCCCCAGCCCCCTGCCTCGCGCCACGGAGCTGCTTCGGCCCCAGAGCCCAGTGCGTCTCCGTGGCACGACAGCCGGCAGGCCCTGGAGCGCAGAAAGTCTCGCATCTGCTCCTGGTTCAGCGAGCTACTTTTCCTTTCAGTCACGCTGGGCTTCCTTTCCTCCTCCTCGTCCTCCTCCTCTTCCTCACAGATCTGCTGCAGGGCTGGGGCGCTCTTGGTAATCGTTGTCTCGATGATGGGGGCCTTCAGCAGCACTCGCGTATGCTGCCTGCTGCCATGGCTGGTGTCTCCATCGTTGCCACAGAGGTGCAGGGAGGGTGGCTGGGGGCTGGGACCCGCAGAGAGTGGCACCTCTGCGAAAGCGGAGAGGTCACTGCTTGTGCCCATGGGGCTGAAGGTGTCCGACAGGTTGGTCCTGCGAGATGGGAGGAATGGAAGAGTCGGAGCCCAGCCTGCAGCACGGCTATGGCCCAACTCAGGGGAACAGCAAGGCCTGTGGTGTGGGCAGGGCTGTGGGGCCAGCAGGGACCCTGCGTGAGGGCATGGACACCTTAGTGTCCAATGGGGACCGTTTTCTCCACCCTGCACCTGCAGAACGTGCTCAGTCTGGGCTGGGGGCAATGTCTCACTGGCCTCCGGGAGTGCAGGGTCCCGCGCAAGTTTGGCAGGGGCACCGGGCATGGGGATCTGGAGCAGTGGAGCTCACCCGCTCTGGACCTGCTTGGCCAAGTTGTAGACGAGGCTCAGGCGGCCGCCCTGCTTCTCCCTCAGCATCCTCTCCGCCAGCAGGAAGTAGGTAGCCGTGATGTGGTTGTAGCGGTCGGCCTCGAGAGCCCTGGGGGACGGGGCAGGGAGGGGAGGGCAGGGAGAGACAAGCCCAGCAGCCCCGTCCTCGCCCCCCCCCGGCCGGCCACGCACGGGCCCCCCCGCCGCCACTCACTCCTGGATGGTGTCCCGGTCCGCAATGTTCCCGCACGTCATGGCCTGGATGATGATGTCGTGCTCCTCCCGGGACACCCGCTTGTGCGACGTGAGGGGCAGCAGCGAGCGGCTCGCGGGGGACGGGTCCACCCCTTGCAGCCACGCGTGGCTCTCAATCTGCTCCAGGGAGGCACGTTGCTTGGGGTCCCGCTGCAGCATCCTCGAGATGAGGCTGCCAGGAGAAGGCAGGATGGGTCAAATGCGGAGTGTGTGCACAGGGACACCAGCCCCAAACCCACTGCAGCTGTGGTCCGAGGCCGGATACCACTCACTCCCCCAGAGCTGCCGCTGGAGCACAGCGTAGTGCCCCCCCAGCCTCCAAATATCCCCCCCTCTTCCTGGATGGGGCACCCCACCATGAGGGCAGTGAGTCAGGCAGCACCCCTGGGTGCTGGGGCCAGAAGGCCCAACACATGGGTGTCAGGGGTAGGGTGGCATGGGGTGGGAGAGGTGCGTACTCAGAGCACTGTGCTGACACGTGTGACGGGACAGTGTAGCGACAGTCCATGATCATGGTGAGCGTCTCGCTGTCGTTGGCCTCCTGGAAGGGTGGGTGGCCGCACACCAGCATATAGAGGATGACGCCCAAGCTCCAGATGTCTGCAAGAGGAAGAAAAGGTTGCAGCTCAGCAAGCCCTTTGAGAAGATCAGTGCAGCCATTGCAGGAACTGCACTCACAAGAGTGCCAGCCCACGGTGAAGACACAGCAGACACAGGACCACAGCTCCACCAAGGTAGGGGAAGGACCTCTCTTACTCCCTAGCCTGAGCCAGCCTCAAGGCACTTCACAAAAGAGGCTGTGTTGTCCTCATCTCATGGGCAAGGACATGGAGACCAGACCTGAGGCACTGCCCCACACTCTATCCACCTCCTCTCATTGACCCTGCAGTGACTCAGACCAACTCAGCTGTGGCCTTTACTGCTCTCAAACAGATCCATCACCAGCATCTTGGCATGCACTGATGATGCTCAGGGCTGTGACTGTGCCACAGGGACACCACAGGGATTGCACAGATGGGAACGTGGATTGGGTCACCCTCGAGCACTTCGGCCGTGCTCAGGGTCTTCATGCAAGAACACTCTTTGGAAAGGCTCCCGCTGGAGCTGGGCCTGGCAGCAGAATAGAGCGCACAGGCACTTCCCCTGGAGCTGCCACTGCTTGTGGCCAAGACAGTCATTCCAGGTCTGTTTCATAGAACCACACACAGGCGGCCAGCTCAGCTCCCCAGCAGAAGCGTTAAACGGCTTGGGTTGCTTCACACACAGCCGCACAAGTGCCCCCACTTTTCTTTGATGTGCTATGAGACGTCCAAGTAGCTCTGCTTCATACCCGTTGCCCAGCTCCCCTAACAGCCCCACATCAGGAGGACACAGCACAGCACAGCATCCCCATGATCACCAAAGAGGGTCCAAGGAATGTGGCGGGGAAGCTAAAGCCTCACAGATACTCGCTAAGGCATGAGGACCCATCGTTTTGCTAGTCAGCTTGCGAGACCTCAAACCACACGCTCGGCTCAACTTGGACCCAGGAGCTGGGATCTGAGGGGAAAGGACCCCTGGGGCAAGAAGCACCCTAGGAAGTCCAGAAAGCAAAGCAAAGGAGGCAGGACTTGTGCTCCAGGGTGGCTGAGCAGGCTTGCCAGCAGCCTAGTGCAAAAAGTCCTGGTCCCCTTGGGGTCTGCAACCCACGAGCGGCCCTTGGAGAGGAGCAGCCTCCACACTCCCTCCCCTGCTCACTATAAATAACTCAGCATGTGACAGGCGCTTCCTGCACTGGCAGCCGCTCTTGAGATCCCTTTGCTCACAAAGAGGCCCGTGAGCTTCAAGGAAACACTGCCAGGAAACAGCCCGGCACAGGGGGACACAGGGCAAGGAGCAACACCCAGGCCCAGCCAAAGAGGAAGAGAGCAGCAGGACAGGGCACAGCCCACGGGAGCCTCAGCAGGATGGTGGCCACAGGAAAAGTCCTTCCGGCCGTGACAATGGGAGGCCGGGGAGCAGCGGATGCTCTCACACCCTTCTCCCACACAGGCTGGGCTTGCAAGGCAGCACGTCCGCCGTGTAGGGCCAGCCGGGCCCGCAGCCCTCGTGTGTCCCCGCAGCCACAGCCCTCTGCAAAGGCAGCGCTGCACCTGCAGCCTTTGGGTGCGCAGCTTTGGTCTTGCTCTGTGGGATAAACCCCGTTGCGTGGACATTGTCCCACATGCGAACAGCGCCCTGCAGCGCAGCTGCCACCCACCCTGCGGGGACAGGGGCTGAATCAGGACAGACAGCAGCTGCAGCGCCCAGCAGGAGCACTCAGCCGCACGTGCCTCCCTTGTGACCAGAATATATGAATGCAGGATATATCTATATATACGCGTCTGCGTGCATCTCACACAAAGCTCCCTCCTCTCTTCCCTCCCCATTAACAGTACTTCTCCCTGCTCTCTCTTCTCAGGGGAGCTTCCCTCCAGCACCACGCAAGGGAGGAGGGACAAGAACTCCGTCTGCATGGGGATGCGGTTCTGCACCCACACCCAGATGTTTTGACATCACTTTGCAGTTTCATCTCCACCCAGGGCAGCTCCCAGGCTGGCTCTGTTCAGATATCAAAGGGACCCGCTTGGGAAGGCTGCCTGGAGGATGAGAGCCCATCCACTCTCCCCCCTCGCAGCCCTTTAATCCTCGCTGCTCCAATTTTGCACAGAGCTGTTTGGCTCATTTTCTTTTTAATGCCTTCTAGAAATCTCTTCGGACATGGTTATCTTTAATCCATTTTGTGCAGGGTACATTTGCCATGCCAGCTCTGCATGGCCAGCCTGGCCAGAGGCAGCCTTGCAACCGGGCACCTACATCCAACCTCCAAACCTGGCGAGACCAGGCAGTGACAGCCCAGGAATCCTGCCCCTTTCTCCGCCTGGCCTGCTCGCTTGGCATGTCTTAACAGCCTCCTGCCTGCACAAATGTTTTGCTCTTGCTTCTTCTCCAGCCCAAGGCATCTTCCTGCTCATTCACAGTGCACTGGCCCTTATGGCCACCTCACAACCAGTGCTGAACTTCAAAAAAAAAAAAAAAAGAAAGGAAAAGAAAGGAAAAGAAAGGAAAGGAAAGGAAAAGAAAGGAAAAGAAAGGAAAAGAAAAGAAAGGAAAGGAAAGGAAAGGAAAGGAAAGGAAAGGAAAGGAAAGGAAAGGAAAGGAAAGGAAAGGAAAGGAAAGGAAAAGAAAAGAAAAGAAAAGAAAAGAAAAGAAAAGAAAAGAAAAGAAAAGAAAAGAAAAGAAAAAGAATCTTGAAGACAGACAGGCCCAGAGACTTTCATTAAGACTTTTAGCTTCTTAAGTAGCTGCAATGTATAAATTTGCATCTGCATCCGTTTTCCTCACTCTGTTTGCGTTTGCAGAGCGACGAGCTTATGCTTTTACCTTCTCTTTTAAGCCACAGCAGTTTCCAGCTAAGGAGTCTTCTTTCAGAAGGCTGAAACTGAACTTTTTCCTTAAGGACTCCCAATGTTTTGCCTTTTTTTTTTTTTTCCTCCCTTCTAAATCCTCATGCCCCAAATTCCACCAGAGCTGGCCCTGATCCTGTCAGGCCCAGCCTTGCCTCCCACGTCCCAGCTGTCGCAGCACGGCCTCAGGGCACCCTGTCGCTGCCTGCTCGGCTCCCCATGGCCCTGCAGCATGAGGTCTCCCCCCGGACGGGTCTCCTCAGGGCCTCCAGACCCCGCGGCCCCGCTCGTGTCGTGGCAGGAGAGCCGGGTGGGCTGGGAGAGGAGCTGCACCCCAGCCCAAGCACTGCAGAGCAGAGGGAGAAGCCCAGCAGGCCCAGCCACGGAGGGGAAACGCTTCCTGAGCGGGGCTGGACTGCAGGGAACTTTCCAAGCTCCTCAGAGCAGCACCCCAAGCAGCTTCCATTTCACCTTCCATTTCACTACTACACCTCAAAACCAAACCGAACCAGCTTGGTTCAAAACCAAACCAGTTTGGTTCAAAGCCACCCGAATTGAGTGTTTTTTTTTCCATCAGCCATTTTCTGGAGCTACTTCTCCTGACTGACACCCCAGTAGAGCCCATTTGGAGGACGGCACAGCAGACTCATGGCCTTTTCCCTACCAAGAGCAGTTGCTCTGCTCTCTGAGAAGAGGATGGTCCAAGCAGGAAGATTTGCCCCGGGGAACTTCCTACTCCAGTGGCAAGGTCAAGGATGTGTAGTTTCAGGATCCCTGACACATGCTTCATCTCAGCAAGGTTAGTGGTGCCACCAGAACTGGATGTCTGGATACTCCTAGCTGCTGTTTGTCACCAGGCCATAGCAGCTGATGTAACCAAGAGGGAACCTGAGGCTGCAAGCAACGCGGACACCAGACTGGCCAGGCCAGACTCCCACAAAAGCAGAGGACGGCCACATGCAAGCAAGCAAGCGCATCCAGGTGTCCCAGCCCATCTGCCGGCACAGGAACAAACACACCGGTGAAGGGACATCTCCGGGGTGAACGCCCATGCTGCGCACAACCAGCCTTACCAACAGCTGGCGCGTCGTACTCGTCTCCAAGCAGGATCTCGGGTGCCGAGTATGCCAGAGAGCCACAGCTAGTGGTGAGCATCTTGCCAGGCTGGAACCGGTTGCTGAAGCCAAAGTCCGTGAGTTTGACCACCCCTTGCTCCTGGAAGAAGACCACGTTCTCAGGCTTGAGGTCCCGGTGCACCACGTGCAGCTTGTGGCAGTAGGAGATGGCATGGACGATCTGCGCGAAGTAGTGCTTGGCGCGTCCCTCAGCCAGGCCGCCCTCGTGCCTCATGATGTGGTCAAACATGTCCCCGCCATCGCCCAGCTCCAGGATGAGGTAGAGCTTGGAGTGGGTGTCGATGACCTCGTAGAGGCGCACCACGTTGGGGTGCTGCACCAGCTTCATGCAGCGCACCTCCTGCAGAAGCTGCCCCGCCGCCTCGCCTGCCAGCTTGCTCTTGTCGATGACCTTCACGGCCAC